TGATGGGATACACATTCTACGAAACTAGTTTCAATGATCTAACCGTCAAACATGTTTATATATACTTCGAGACCGCATACCCCAAAAATTGCCAAAAACAAACATTCAGAGATCAAGTAACGGGACAAAACGTTTCGACAATTATCAACGAAAAATCACAATTTAACGGTTATTTTAATTCCAATTTTGATGATTTTTTACAGCTACACTCCTTGATCCTATATGAATACAATGAATGAATTCGATTTCAATTTAAAATATTTACATTAGTGGATACCATAAAATCTTATGTTATACTTAATGAAAATGAAAGTATAAATAAACTCTTAAGTGTTAGTGAATCTATTGTTTTGATGGGATACGCATTCTACGAAACTAGTTTCAACGATCCAACCATCAAACATGTTTGTATACAATTCGAGATCGCATACGCCAAAAATCGCAAAAAACAAACATTCAGAGATCAAGTAACGGGACAAAACGTTTCAACGGTTATCAACGAAAAGCGCAATTTAACGGTTATTTTAACTCCGATTTTGATGATTTTTTACAGTTACACTTCTTGACCCTATATGAATACAGTGAATCAACTCGATCTTCAATTTATGATATTTACACTAGTGGATACCACAAAATCTTATGTGCAAATTTATGAAAAAAAAAAAATATTTTTCTTAACGGGTCAGGTAACTTTACCCGTTAGGTAAAGTGACTCGATCTGTTAAGGACCCGTTAAAATAACGGGTATGACACGACATGACCTGTTTGCTAGGCCTATTCTAGAGGGTATATAAAGGCCACCAATCTGTCGCCTACAATCGACACCGGGTTTTCAAAATATTTAAAAAAAATTAAAATCTATGTCAGCTACAAGCGACACAGGCTTTGAAAATATTTAAAAACTTTCTCTAGTGTCTGGTATAAGCGACACCAGTCTTCTTTTAACCAACACTAACTTTATGTCGATTACAAGGGACACCGGGTTTTAAAAATATTTAAAAAAAATTAAAACTTATATTGGCTACAACCAACACTAGCTTTGAAAATATTTAAAAACTATCATTAGTGTTGGAAAAAAGTGACACCAGTCTTTATGTCAATTAAAAGCGACACCACTATTAAAAATTATTAAAATATATGTCGGTTATAAGCGACATTAACAGTTTATGTCAGTTATAAGCGAGAGTAATTCCGACACCATGTAAAGTAGGTGTCGGAATGTCTTAAGCGCCACTATGTTTTATAAAAGTGACACCAGCCACCGACACAATAAAGCCCTTTTGTAGTAGTGAATGTTGATTATATATAGATAGTATCGTCATTCTACTGTCAATATAGTGAAGATACATTGTCAATACGAGTCATGTGCAAACCATGTGTACAACCCAGGTGCGCGGGTAAAAATGATTATAGTTTATACAACAATATTTTAATACCAAAGGTAGCATTTTTGCTAAGTTTGAAGCATAAAAATGATTATAGTTTATCAATGTGCTCTTGGTTGAAGTTGCATTGTAGCTCACCTCATAAAGCATGTTATGGTCAATTAAACCCTCATAGATGATTCTTGACTACTGATGCATGCATGTGACGATCACAACGTATTTTAACCTTCAAATTCAGAATGTGCCATGTTGAGAAGCACCAACTCCAATTCTCATGTGTATCCTGAGAAGCTAACAAGTGAGATCTTGTTTTTTTTTCCCCTCCCTATTGGGACCCAAAAATGTCACATGCAAGCCCAAGTCATGCCTAAACACATGCAAAGGTGCGGAATCGAGAAAGGAAAATATTCACAATTATGCCATGCTACAATAATTAAATCGGATATTTGCATAAATCATGCCAGGCCCATGAAAATCCATGCATATTTATCATGCTAACTACTATTCAGGTTAAAATAAGCTCAAATCACATGCACGAGACTTGCTAAGTGAATTGCGATGTGAATGGTTACAGAAGTTTATTGGGTCTACGTGGAGTCAAGATTATGGAAGACTTTGGGCTGCATGGGCCCACAATTCAAGCCCATAATCTTTGAAGTCCACTGGATAAGTTTGAGAGAGAACAAACCTAATGTCTTTCCTTTCATAGCAAGCCAACCAATCTAGTTAGGAAGGAACCAAATCCCAGGCCTTAAGTTCACGTGATAACCCGGCCAAACATGCATTTAATGAAAAGAGATGTTAACTTTCACTTCCAAGCCCATGCAGAAAAATGACACATGAAAGCCAGGAGACACATTACCATAAGTAACAAATGTGGAAGCTGACTAAAACAAGCAGTGTCTTGGGAAGTAGGCGCATTGCAGTCTTCACTAGCGCATTATTGGTCATTTGTCTCACACCAAAAAGGAAGGTTGCAGCTATCCTAAGAGAAAGAAAGAGGAGGATTTAGCCACAACTAGAGATTCCTTAGGAAACCTGGAAAAGAATCATTCACCTAAAAGAAGTATCAGAAAGGCAGAGAAGAAGATGAACTTGACCAAAAAAACTGGACCAAGAGGGAGAACGTTAAGAGGTGTTTAAGGATTGTGCTACACCAAGCTAGGGAAATCAGTCCCTAAATGCAAACAGTCTTAAGCCTCAGGAAGGCCACCTCTGCAAATTTAATGTTTTCCACAACCTCCCTTTGAGCATCTTAACCATTAAAAGCATTGTTATTACCCTAGGAAACTCAGAAACCCAACCATGCAATGTCTCTCTCTCTCTCTCTCTCATGCTAAATTGATAAACTTCTAATTTCCACACCATGCCTCACTCGAGTAAGTCTTTATTTGCTTAATCATGTTACCTTTGAGTCATTGATCTAACCATGATATTTCCTAAGACGTGCCTATCCCTTTGGGATATCTTGGAACTTGGTACGAAAGCAGACCAAGAGAGACAAAGGGACACATGCATATCCTAAGTCCACTTCGACCTAAAAGTCCCCTAACAAGGCATGTTTTTCACGTGTGAGCAACTCAAAAACCAAAAACCCATTTGAGTATATCATGTGTGAGCATATCATGTGCATGTCACTAGAAAGAGATGATTATTAATGGGATTTCCAGAATCTAGGTTCAGGTCAAAGATTTGTAAACTACATATCTTTAAGAGATTTCCAGAATTTGGGCCTCCATAAATCCCCCAACGCCGTTAATTGCATGTACACAACTAAACCGAAAATTCCCTCCAATAACTGCATCAAGAACCCTAATTTCTCACAGTAAAAACAAAAATTGAAAATTTGAAAAATTGGAAGATCCAATCTTTGCTGCGACACTTGAATCCCAAAAAATGACCCATTGCATCAGTAGGACAAGCGCTAACCATCTGTCCTTAACCACCCTGTAAACCATCTGATCAAATTAGCGAACTATGTGTTTGTTTCAAAGAAAAACAAGAACAAAAACAAAAATGTCCAGACCCTCAGTGCTACTCCCACCCACTAACCTAAACCCATCGAGTGGCTCCAACCACGTCGAGAAGTTAGGCAATCTTAACACCTATCTCGTCGGCTTCTCTGACTCTAAGGTCGCTACTATGTCCTTATTCTCTCTCTCTCTCCTATATGTTTCTCTCTCTATAAAATGAGAAATAAAGGTTGGAATTTCTGGGTGACCCATTTATATGGGAGGGCAATTTAGTAAATGTGAGTTTCAGAAAATCCTATTTTTGTCTTATTGTGCATGGTCTGTGCATATCCGAAAATCCTATTTTGATCCCAAAATTAACAAAATGAGTCATTTTTGTCTATTTCTCAAGAAAATAAAAAGAAAGGAGAGTTAAAAATCACGCAAAACTAAAAAGGTGCAGCTTTCAAATTTGATGGCCGATACGATATGCTACTCACAAGGCATGTTTTTCATGGAACAAATTTAATAAGAAGTTGTTTGTCACATGTCACCACGTAGGCCAAGATCTACTCATACTCTGTCTAGGCAGCTTGACAATCCAATCTCTTTTGCCTTTCCAACTCAAATATCAAAATCATCAACCCAAAAAATCAAAATTGTCAACTTTTTACTCATTAGAAGCCAAGACTTTTTCTGCTGCTTTTGCAAACTCAATCCTCCTTTTACAAACATAAAATCTGGGGCTTGTTTGCCTGTTTCTACCTTTTCATGCCTCCTATTCCCAAACTACCCCCTCTCCTGTGTTCCTATCCATTCACACAGTTCCTTTCTTTCCCTTTTTTTTTTTTTTTCTATACCATCATCATTAGATACTAGCACGTACAAAACTCAATCGATATAGTGGAAACAAGAGTGATCTCCGGTAACCCTTTTTTTAAATTCGGATCTTTTAATTTAACAACTGACATCATTTGTCTATTGTCCCGAAATATTAAACTTAAGTACAAACCAACCAACAAAACTCAAAATGTTCTAAGAAAAACTCAATTAGGTTACCAAAACCTTTATCCTGCTTTCAAATGCACTTTGAGATCAGCAATGACTTACTCTCTTCATTTTGCCCTTAAATCAATGCCCTCAAGAATTTTGTTGCTCTTAAATTGTCATGGGTCTTGGTTAAATTCTTGTTGAATTGGAATCTAGACCTATGATAATCTCAGCCTTAACTCATTATCCTATGCTACTTTGAACCGTTAGATTGAATAATTCACCTTCTACATTCTATTTTTCTACTCGTTAAATGCAATACTTCAGTAAAATATAAACAGATAGAAATAAAAAACGAAGTAAAAAAAGATAGTGCGAAAATCATTCTAGTAATTAAAATGCCGACATCTCCACCAAGAGGCAAAAGTGGCCATGTGAACTCCAGCCCCAGGTGGTCTCTCAGAAACAGGTCAGCCAGCTAATGGATGCTTCTTTAACAGTATTATGTAATACCAAACATCTCCCACCAATTTTTTTTTTTTTAACACACAAAAGCAACGTAGAAAGCAAATCAGATCATACGGTCACCAAACCACATGCAAATAAAGACTTATCTATGCCATTGCAATGCAAAGATCATGTAAAATAATATTGGTTTCAATATTTTTTTGGCTGCAAGTAAATTGGGATTCGATTTCATTATTCAAAATACTACAAAGACAAGAGATTCTTTTTATAACATGTTAGAATTGGAGAATGTAGAAAGCTTCTAATTTTCTCATCCTCAACTCCCACAAATCAAAATTTGAATATCCAATACTTTTCAACTCTCACTCCGTTTTTAAATCCTGAATCCATCACTGATAGCGTATGTTCATTTTTCTATAATGTCATCATCTTGTTTTTGATCATCCTCTTCATCACTTTTCTTGCAGCTGTCCTGAACAAGGTCACATGACCCTTCATCTTCAGGACTCTCCAATGCCCTCTTCTCCTGCTCTTCTTCCTCTTCTTCTTCATCTTCTTCCTCTTCCAACTCACCACCCCCATTACTCTCTTTCTTCTTCCTCCTCTCCGACCTCGCTTTCAAGGCCTCCAGCAACTCCATCACCGCATTGCCCTTATCCCTCCTGTTCTTAATCAACACCTCACTCACATCCGCTGGAGTCATCGCCGCCTTCTCCAAAACCTCTTCAAACTCCCTTGTAATCTCCTCATCCAAATCCCCCTCCTCGTACCCCAAATAATTCCTCAGCAGAATATTCAACGCCGGGAACGAACAGTGGCTCATGAAAATATGCATATCCATTCTCCCACTCCTCAGCAATGCAGGATCAAGCTTCTCAATGTGGTTGGTTGTGAACACGAAAATTCTCTCGCTCCCACAGCACGACCACAACCCATCAGTGAAATTCAACAACCCCGAAAGCGTAATCGAATTTCCTCCGCCACCCTCCTCCCCAGAACCACCAACACCACTTCTCATCTCCCCTGATTCATAGTAATTCCTACCCGCATTCCCTCCGCCGCCATTGTTCTTCCTGTTCGTCAGATTGATCGAACAATCAATATCTTCGATCACAATAATCGACTTGGAACTAGTCTTCATCAGCAACTTCCGCAGCTCGGAGTTGGTGTGCACCTCCGTGAGTTCAAGGTCATAAATATCGTAACCAAGATAGTTCGCCATTGCAGCGATCATGCTCGATTTTCCGGTCCCCGGAGGTCCGTACAAAAGGTAACCCCTCTTCCAAGCTCTCCCTGTTTTCTGGTAAAAGTTTTGGCCATTGGCGAAGTCCATGAGATCGTCCATGATCTCCCTCTTCGTCTTCGGGTCCATCGCCAGCGTCTCGAACGTGCTCGGATGCTTGAACGGTACGGATTCCCAAGGATGTCCGCGGGAATCCAACGATCCGCCACGGGAATTCGTGTACAGAAGCCGATCCTGGTTTTTTCTCCGGATTTCATTGGCCTTTTCCATGATATAGTCCAAGTAGTTGTTGAGGATGAGTAACTTGTCCTTCTTCTTGATGCGGAGGGTGAATCCTCGCTTCTCCTCCGGCAGCGGCCGCCAGGAGAAGGACTGGTTCTGCCGCTGCGTGACAACGTGCTCCCAGAGGACGGTAACGCCGTTGAAGTTGTCCACCATGCAGTCGTTGTTGGAGAGGCCGAAGGTGATGGCGCTGGAGTTGAGGGCGCGCGTGAGGCTGAGGCGGGTGCCAGTGATGGAGACCGTGGAGCTGAGGTAGAGCTGCACGGCGTTGTAGAGCTCGTTGGTGTTGACGCCATCGATCTCCGTGATGTCGAAGTAGTAGTAGGAGGAGAACCAGTGGAAGATCTTGTTGAAGAGCTTGGCGAAGGCGTAGCGGAGCTCCGGTGGGAACACTGCTTGGAGGAGGCTCTGGCAGAAGGCCAAAACGCCTAGCAAAGAAGCCAAAGAGGTCCAATACTCCTTCATTTTTGGTGTGAAAATACTTGGGATTTTGAGTAGTGGGTTTTGCGCAATTTATGGAGGGATGGTGGGATTTTGAGAAATGGGTTTCGCACAATTTATAGAAAAGTGATAGAATTTTGGAAATTCTGAGTATTTTTCAAGTAGGTTTTGCTGGATGTAGAGAAATGTAATGAACTTTGGAGTTTTTGGGGTAGTTTGAGAAATGGGGTTTGGTTATTTTATGGAGGGAGAGAGGGGGAGGGGGATTTTGGAGTTCTTGGGTTTTACTAACAAATGGGTTTTGCTCTGAATTTATAGTGGGGATTTGATGGGGTTTGGGAATTGTTTGTATGAAATTAGTGGATGAGAGAGGGAGAGAATAAAGCAGAGGTGAAAAGAAAAGGAAGGAAAAGAAAGGAAAAAAAATGTTTGAAAAGGGATGGCTTTTGGGATGGGGGGGAATTGGCTGGCCAAGGAAGGGAGGGGTATATAACATATAAGTACAAGAAAGAACAGCAAGAGGGAGGGGCTAAAAAACAAGAGGGGTTTCTGGATTTTGGGAAAGAATCAGAGATGGGTCCTCCTGCCCTATTGTGTTTTTTGATGTTTTGAGTGATTTACAGGGGGTTTGCTTGGACTTTTACCCTGCTTACTATTATGCAAGATTTGAATGTATAGCCAATGTTACAGAGAGAGAGAGAGAGAGAGAGAGAGAGAGAGAGAGGGATGATGGACAAGGAATGCAAGATTTGAATGTATAGCCAATGGTACAGAGAGAGAGAGAGAGAGAGAGAGAGAGAGAGAGGGATGATGGACAAAGAATGTGGTAAACCACCGGAGGAGGGAGGGTTTCACTGATGGCTGCAGTCCTGCTGCTTGGAAATCTCAAAGGAAATTGGTTAATGTGGGTTTTGCAGGCATTGTATAATAATCACAATAATAATATATAATAAGTAATATAATTTTGTGACATTATTATCATTCATGAATTTACCAACTTAATAGATATTTTGCATGAAATAAGAAATTATTATCATTCATGAATTTACCAAGTTAACAGATATCTCGCATGAAATAAGAATGGAAAGCAGAAAGAATATTGATGAAAAAATTTCAGATGTATATGAGGACCCACTATGCTTTTTTGGTCGCATGTCAAACATATTTAATTACTAACACTAATTGCCACATATTCTTCAAGATACTTTTGATTTGGTGAAGAAAAATCTTGAAAGATTGGTTATATATTTAATTTTGAAAGGGTATTACGAAGGAGATTAAAATTTTAAATTAAATTTACAAATTAAATTATATGTTACAAAAAAGAAATAAACACAATAATTCACACTTAAGTAATAATTCAATCATCAACAACTACATCATTTAGTTTACAAATTTGTTTAAAACATTTAATCTCTCTAACATTGCTCATTTTAAAATTACCATCATTGGTTTGAGACCATTTTTGGGGTCATGGATGTGTTTTGTGATCTTGTCTCTGAATATTAACTTATATAAATCTAGAAGGTCTAAAACCCATCGCTCCGTGTGTAGGTCTGGATTTCACCAGTGTGTTTTTGTTTGTCTTAGAGACATTTTCACTCATACTCAAACTTCAAACTTTAAAATAAAGATTTGAACGTTTAAATAAAAATATAAAAAATTCCAATGACTGCTCTAGCGTCGTTAGCGCTAGCATAGTTGTTCTTTAGTGTTTCTTTTCTTTTCTTTTCTTTTTTTCCTTTCATGTTACTCGACAAACAAAAGTTTTAAATGACGTATCCCAGTGACCAAGAAGTACTCTGCTATCAAATGAAACTATATTTTTAGGAAAGCAAACTTTGCAGCGGATGCTTTTGCCAAGTATGGATTACGTATTCTGTCGAATTACATTTGGGAATATGTAACTCCCCAATTTGCTTCTTGCCTTGAACTTTGATTGTATCGGTACTGATTGTATTTGTGGATTTTCTTTTAAATGAAGTTTGATTACCCAGAAAAAAAAAGGTTTTAACTGATATATTCTTGCAATATTCCAATTTTAAAAGAAAAATACCCTCCAACCATATACACATGAAATCTTTCTATTGTAATAATATTGAGACCAAACAAATTTTTTATTACTATACAGAGAGAATTAGATTATTACTTAATAGATATATAGTTACAAGACATTACTTTTTGACTAAATAATTCTTTATAAAAGATGTCCCATTACAAAGTATTTGAATTAATACTGGATCATGTACATTTCCAATATGTAAACATTAAGAAAAGAGTTGGGAAGACACGTAACAAAGTCATCTTGAAAGTCTCTTATTTACTTTTATCTCTAATTAAACCGAGATGTCGATTGAGAGTCCATACTTAAATTTCTTACCTTGAACTTGTTTTGCAAATTTATGCAGAATAAAAATACTTTTATGGTGCTTACATATGTAAAACTCCGACAACCACACCACCATATTGCCACTGTCACTTCTCACCACTAACTATGCTTCCCTTCCATTCTCTATCTCTCACCCCTCACCCTTTCTCTCTCTTCAGAGCCCGCACTAGATCATGATCTTTGCAAGGAAGATATCTAATTGATCGATACAACTGAAATTGGAAACTACACGACGACAATGGTAAAGGAAATCTGGAACGATATGACAATGACGAACCCGTATACCTAAAACGACGCAAAGTGACAACAGAAAAAAATCTGATACAGCTTCGCCGATGAGAGGATGAGAGAGATAGAAGGAGACAAAAGGAAGTGTGGGACCCTTTTATGGGCTTATGACACGTGGTACTCAGGGTACTTGGAATGATCGAAAAGCTCAGAATAAGATCAGAGTTACATAGTATTCCGAATCAGATTATCATAGGCCAAGGTAGTCCGGCACGGCTCCATTAGCTCTAAGCCTATTGAAGATATTACTTGTCTCTCAAGTAAGGAAACCCTAATTCAAGTCAAATTAGGATATCTTATGGATTAGACAATGTAATCATAATCCTAGGAAGATTGGATATGTCTCTCGATTTAATTGGAGTTACTCTCCCTACAATAGGATTCTCAAGATCACTATAAATACCCTAACCTGGGCACTTATCTCTTCAGTACTAATATACTTTATCACTCACACATATTCTCTCATACATGTCGTCGTCCTCGCGTAGACATGGAGAAACATCTCCTATATGCCTAAGTCAAGGCACCTTCATCAAGGATGGTTCACGATGTACATGCATGACACCATTCTTTCTTAGAACTATACTCGTGATGTGATTCTCCATCCCCAGAGATATGTAGGCAGTTCGATCTGGATTCAATCACACTCCCCAATCAACCTCATTCTCCCCTCGCAAGAGTTCATAGGTAATTCTGACTGAATTTCACCTCCTTTCGATTATGTGCATGATTTTAATTCTAACAATTGATGTTTTTATTGAGAGTGAGCTCATATTCCACCAGCCAACAACCTCTACTATGAACAACAACAAAAGTAAGGGCACCGGTCACAATCACTTGATGATTTATTGGAAGACCACAAGGCCTAAAATGATGGCAGAAGATTCCTATCTTTTACTTTAGGGATGAGTATCGGAGATCAGGAAGTACCAAAGAGCGACCTCTTTCGCTACCTAGGATCTATCTTGTAAAAGAACAGAGAATTAGATGGAGACCTTAACCATAGAATACAAGCGGGATGGATGAAGTGGAAGAGTGCATCCAGCGTGTTGTGTGACTGTTGTATGCCACTGAAGCTCAAGGAAAAATTTTACACGACGGCAATAAGGCCGACAATGCTGTACGGCAGAAAATGTTGGGCGGTGAAGCATCAACACGTACATAAAATGGGTGTAGCAGAGATGAGGATGCTTCGTTGGATGTGTGGGCACACAAGAAAGGATAAGATTAGGAATGAGGATATTCGAGGTAAAGTAGGAATAGCCGAAATTGAAGGAAAGATGAGAAAAATCGGTTGTGGTGGTTTAGACATATGCAAAGAAGGTCTACTGGCGCTCTGATTAGAAGATGCGACTACGGGACAGAGGCCCAAGGCCGAAGGGGTAGAGGAAGACCTAGGAAAACTTTGGAAGAGACTCTAAGAAAAGACTTAGAGTACTTGGATCTAACGGAGGACATGACACAAAACTGAGCGCAATGGTGTTCTAGGATTCATATAGCCGACCCCACTTAGTGGGGAAAGGCTTTGTTGTTGTTGTTGTTGCTTTATTCTTATGCTTCCACGCTAATTCTATTGTTTCTTAGCATGTTAAATCCTCATCGATATTGCAAATTTCATGGAAGAAAACGATGATAAGCAGAACAAGATTGTTTCTTTCTTTGTTTGTTTTTATTGCAAGGAAAATATCAACAGTCTATAAAAGATTTGTAAATTCCACCAACTATTCTAGTGGAGCCAGTAACTCTAACAACAACACAACAGCTCCGATGAGCATAGCAAAATCCCAATTTGGGAAGAAATTCACTAGGGGGATATCACCCCAAAAGAAAGCATATGTTCAACTTCAGAACTCTGTCTCAAGTTCAAGTCCAAAACTCCACCTACAACTCAAAATGCAATGAACTGGGGGCATCCCATTTGGAGCACATGATAACTTTGCAACACATGTTCCGACTAATTGCTTAGTCAGAAAGCCTCGCAAATATACAAGGCACGAAATAACAAAGTCAGACCAACACTTCATCATGAATTTAACTCAAAGACCTCTCTTCTGAAATCTACAACTAGCGTTTCATGCAACTCAATTCGAATCCATCAACACTCCAGCTAAGGCAAATGCTCACAAAAATCTGGTGGTAATGTAATCGTGCCTTAAACCCAATATGTGCCCTTAAATGATTTTTAATGAAAATTTTATTTTCCGGATGAATTTCGACACAAGGCCAGTTGAAAAGAAAGCTAAGAAGCTGAAGATTGTTGTGTCAAGTTTTCAAAATTTTCTACATAGCCAATAGCTCTAGTTTTTCACACAAAGATAGTTGAAGTTGTATTCCCTTTAAAATTGCACAGCTGTGGGAAAAATGGAGATTTCAAAGCCTTCTCAATTTTTTCAAATGACATTCAATAGACCTAAAAAACTAAGAAATAAAAGCTAAAACATTATTATTTTCCCATAATTTTCTAGAAGATGGAACGATCTCAAATCTAGCACGCAACAACAAGCCAACCCAACTAGCA